TACGCCCATTTACTTATCATTAGTCTACGAAAGCTAGTACATCTGTAATTTCACAGTAAATACATCTTTATTAGCGGGGTAAAGTATAGTCACTGCTTTGAAAGTACAAGTTGAAGCAATCAACCATGCAGTACATTTCAGGCATTGGTGATCATATTGCGCGAAAACTGGAAGGCGCCTGGGAAGTGTTCTGCTCACAGAATCCGGTGCCACCGACGGTGAAGCAGATTGATCAGTTGAAAACAGGTGACTTCATGCAATTCATCACTTCAGCAAACTTCCTGGAGCACAGATCTGGGCCACGCATCACCACAGCAACAAGACCATTGCCAGCAATTGGCGAATTACAGGACACCGATGATCAGCCAGCAGAAAGTGGCCAATCCTGGATTACCAAGCGGAAACGTCCCCCGAAAAGAACGCATCTCTCACAGTCGCCGAAGAAAGCAGCGACGCCAGATGCAGCATTGTCGATACTATCAAGCGAACAGCGCTGCAGCAAAGAAGATGTCGGCCTGCGACCTACTGCAGCAAGGGTTGATGACATGATTAACGAGATTTTTGCTGATATCGACGATTCTCCCGGTCAGATTGATGCTATAACGGAGGCCAATGAAAGCGGCCTGCTTTACCATAGCCCCTCAGCACTTGCCCATCCTCGGGTCAGTTCAACTTTTGCTCCCGATTTTTGGTTAATATTTACTTGCTTTGCGTTGGTTTAGATAATTAATAAAGCACAATTTGCTCAAATCTAAAACTCGGCACTTTCTATCTAAAAAGGACGATTTTCAGGTGCTTCTGATCGTTGATAATCGGGAAACCGGCAATACGAAAAAGTTCAGGCAAATGTGCAGCGTATTCCAAAAAAAGGTCAGCGGTAAGCATAGTCTGCATTCCGCTTTTGCTACTGTTTTCACCTAATCGTATAAGCGCAGAAATGTGCGAGATATAACGTAATAACGGAAACCTTTCAATATATTTTTCTTTGCTTGTGTATTTTACTTTTAAAATTTTTTGGCTTTTCCGCACAAAATTTAATATTTTTTGCTCATTTGTTTGGTTTAACGTTTAGCATTGCTTGGCTTTTTTCATGGTTAAGTCTGCAAGACTTGACCTGATCAAATTCTGCCTTTACTTCACTTTTTCCGCATTTTTCTATTTTACATTGCTTCGTTTGTAGAAGGAACACTCCTTTTTTTCCAAGCTGCGTCTTCGTTTCTGTAGTATCAGCATGGAAGGAAAAGCTGTTCTACAACGATAGTTGTTGTAGTACGGCTTCTTCTATTCATACGGAAACAGGGGACGGTAACGTTGTTGGAAATCGTTTAGAGTGCTCTTATCCTGATGCCTTGCAAGTAAAAAGCGTTCATTTGAAACTCCTGTTGACTAAGGAATTGCCTTTTTGGTGCCTGAAGTAACTTTTGCAATAAAAGAAAATTTTATTTGGAAAAAAGTAGTTTTTTTTTTTTTTCATCACGAAAGGCTACAGCATGCCTACTTGAGCGAGAGGCATGTGTAATTGGAATAATGCATCACCAGCCAGGATTTTGGTCTGACATATTTTTAAAGAACTGTAGGCCAAAAGATAAGATTTCGGCATTAATAGTTTTAGGATTATTAATCACACCGTATCCTGCCTCTTTCTGAACTAAATATGACAATGGGAATAAATGGTTGCTTTGTAAGCCGACGATTTTGACAGTGCCATTCAGTCCTTTCAGACCGTGAATTATCCAAGGGTTAATGTTGAATTTGTAGGATATCTATTACGAATTGCGGTCTTTATCAGTTGGTGATTATTTATGGATAATGCGCATGCCTGATGGCACCGAAATGGTACTGGACTATATTGTCGAACGCAAAACATTTGATGATCTGTGGCACAGTATTAAGCAGAAAAGGTTCCTACTTTTGCTGATTTTCGTGATTTATTTTGCTTGGCCGAACGGTCTTGACATTTGTTGATTGGAGGGAGGGGGAATTAACAACAGGCTAAGCACGGGAGACACAATGATTTTTGTAGGGGGCAATTGCTTGATTGAATGTTTTTTCATACTGAAGCACAGTAACTGTCATCCACAGGTACGATGAGCAGAAACAGCGTTTGATGACGATCGGCATTCCAAATGTTGTGTACATTGTGGAGGGAAGCACTGCGCCTGCTGAGGCTGCAGTCGAGCAGGCACTTGTCACTACTCATATCGAAAACCGGTAATTCTTACCCCGATTCATTCCTGTTTTCATTCCCACTTATGCAGATGAAACTGCACTGAGACAAAATCATGTCAGGCCAAATCTATTCTGAGACTATCAGTTCCAGAACACTTATACTTCAAAATCATGATTTGTGATTATCGGTCAGACTGCATAACAAAAGTCAGCCCACTGCACTCGTTTGCTGCGCTTAGCTTTTTTTTTCATAAAAATGAAGAAAACAACGAACTGGAAATTTTATTCGATAACACCCGCCGGATAGCGATGGGCAGACAAATCTGAAATGCTATCTCAGACCCATCCACCGTAAATTAGTATATGAATTCGCTCCAA